AGATGCCTAATTTTGGCCCTTGTTGTAGCGCTCTCCCACGAACAGTTATAAGTAGCGCCGAAAAAAAAAATTTCGTTACCACACTTTGACATGTTCATTCCCTGAAAGTTTGGTTCAGATCAGACCTACCTGGGCTGAGATAGGTTTCTGACCCGGTGCGGGACTTAAGTCAAAGAAAAAAGAATGATTATATTACGTTACGAGTTAGTGTAGTGTGTGATTATGGAAGTGTATAACTGAACTAAAATACTTGATAATAACGAAACGTGTTTCTCCTGAGGTCTAACACAAAGAACAAGACAGCTCTGAGTATCTTTATCTGTCGGATATATAAAACTTTTCTTACACGGTATCGGGCGCCAAATCTACCAGTCTATATTTATTTTCTCTGTATAACGATAATTTCAGAATGCAAACATTGCTAATCACTGTTACAGTCAAGTTTGCTCTAACAATAAGACCGTTTGACTTATCATGCAAAAAACGTAAGCATCTCACACAATATGTTGTTGTAGAAACTAATGTCTTTCGTACAATTTTAGGTAATTACAAGTTACTAACAGATAATCGAATTTATGTCTATATCAACAATCATTCAACTGTAAGTGAGAACTTTTTGGTTGTTGATGGGCATGCTAGATATGAATCCACGCCCAAGTAGTGTCTACTTTTAAGTGTATGTCTGAAAAATTTCCTATAACATGGTTGTAGGATTTATTTACCTCAGAGACCTCAGAAACTTTCATCTCTGATAAGTTACGTTTCACATAGATTTTCAAGATAGCAGTTAGGGAATTTTTGGAAAATATCTGATGCTTGATGCTATGAGCATCTGTTCGGCTCAAAGTTCTGTATAGATTAGACGAAGCTCTGCGAAAGGATTTATCTCACTCTTATAATGGAATGACTGTTCTCCAAGATGTAAACCAACATAAATATCTCTATGAAGAAGCTAACAGAGAAATCATGATATAGGCTTAGGACAGTCCAATTCGGTACTAAAGTTGGCGAAGATAAAGGCAGGGAGGAAGTCCTTCTCGTTTGCGTCCATCATCGAGTTCGAACAGATTTGATTGTGCTTCAGAAATTGGCTTTATATCTCATAGTGATTTCTAGTGTTTTTTGCTGGAGAGTTTTGAGATGCTAAAGATGAGTGTATAGATCACCTCAAGGACATTAAGCATATTTTGAGAAACCAAAACGAGTATAACAAATATTAAACCTACTTATCCATTTTTTGAAATCCAAAAATGAAACAAAACAGAAAAATCCCTTTTGGGTCTTTTAAAATACGCTATTTTTGAGACAGCAATGCTTATCGATTCGTTCAAGAATGAAGTCATCCTTTCTCTACTTATTTAGCAACTTCAGTTTTATATTGGAATTGATCAAAATCATATTGACGATACTGTGTCAAAACTCTGGCTCTATCAAGAACAGTGGCCAACGGTATCGTCTGACCAAAATTTATTCATCGCTCACGGACAATTCAATGTATCGGTACATTCGTTTACTCATGCTTTCTCCATAATTGTTATATTGCGCGAATAAAAAGAAAATCCTAAATTCACTAATATTTTAAATGTATTATAGTCAGTATCACAATATTTTTGGAATTCATCATGGACATTTGACCTTCCTCGAATGATTGATTCCATAGGTAATTTTTCTTCTTTAAAGTAAAAGTACAATCTAATATTGTTTTTGTTTTGAAGCTATCACCAGACAAGCCACAATTGCGATCCAATCATCAATATTTTCCAGATCAGTTCCATTAGTAGTAAGACAAAATGGTAGAATTGTATCTGAATGTGAACAATAGATGAAGTATATTGGTCATTTTTAATTCAGAAACAATACGTGATTATTGCATGGAACCCGATTTAACTCTCAATATTAGTGCTATTATTGCGTCGGGCAAAACAAATTCATTCGATATTAAGAATATTGAAAAATGCTGCCGATTCTGCAATGGTAAATTATCTACTCGTTGTAGCAAGAGAATACGATGTGCTTCATTTTTTTCCAGATAGATGTTCTAATATTGAACTTATCGGCGACCATAGTCATAGTTCACCTGGAAATATTATATTCACAAACTATGGATTAATCGTTCCCAAAACCTTTGTTGATTATAAGCACGATGGAAAATATACATTTCAATGCATACCATCATCAGAATCAATATCACAACCTGTAAGTTATGAGTAATAAACAACCGTTAGATGAGTCGAATTAGACTTTTCACTCTTTTCAAATATCAGAGAACTGACCGTCATCATTTGAACAAAATTTATCTTTTATTTTTGTATATATTTTTCATTTAGCATGACACCGATCAATTTTTCTCCACATTTACTGATAGTATGAATATCGGTCAGGATATTAGCGGTAAGAATAATATATAATAAACTTGAGTTTATTGACATACTTAGATTAAATAATTCAGAAACGGACTTTGTTTTGATTCGTCAATTTGATTCAAGAATTGATGACAATTCTACTAGAGTTCGTATCATAAACAAAATATCTCGTATTCTCTCTCATTAACTTCTGTACTTCTTCTAGCTATTTTTCCATTATTCTGTATATCCATTCCAATCTTGGAAAACATATTCTGCCTATTATGAGAACGAATTTAAATTCGTAGACGCTGTTTTTATACCGAATGTACAAATAGCTATTTTCGAAATAGTAAGAAAATATTTAAGACGACCTTCTCTCTTAGAACACTTTTTTGTCTATATCATGAATTTGACTAACAATAAAAATTTTAGAAATTAGAGCTCATGTTATGAATGGTCAATGATTAAGTTTTCAGTCAGAAATATCGAGACGTTCGTCTTCTTAACAGAAAACGAGAGAGAGAAACTATTGAGCTATAGTGATGTTTTAGAACTAGTTTCATATCAAAATTAATTAAATCTGAAGCCACCAACGTAGTTGTCATTATAAGGCTTACTTTCGGAACTTTTGAAAAACTTCTTCGCAAGCCGGCAAAAAGTGCACTTGAGTGATTGAAAACAATATAGATTTCGAAAATAGAGAATCCAAACGACATCTTGATATGCATCAAGCAAATTTTTTGAAGAAATGTGTGATTTCTGAAAGGAGAAGGCTTCTGGCAATACATAAAAATACTACCCTTCCAAAAAAAGCAATAGTCTTTCGAATAATTTTTGAGCGCAAATTGATTTGAGAGTAATATAGAATGAAATAGACTAAGGTTCGAAAGAGAAGAGCTGACCACGTCTTTTTCTAGCGCAAGACATTTTAAAAATCTTTTTGGGAAAATTTTCTAGGAAATCTCTTGAAAAACATTTTGGATCTCGAAAAACGTAAAGGATCAGTTCGCATAAAACTTGAAATCGATCTACCAGCTTTTATTGTTTCAATGTGTCAAAAACTCATAAAAATCATCGTATTCGATGATTTTGACCCTTATGAGCGCTTTCAGTTGAACACATCCGATGAAATCTACTAGTAAACAAACCATCCTGTAGGACTGTAAGATCGAAATTTCTCCATAACTAACCAGTATTTAGTACCTAATGCAATACATCATTCGATGTGCCTTGAAAAGGTCTACAATATGTGTTAACAGGAAACTTAACGGAACGTCCTTTGTGAATTTAGTCCTAGATGTTCCCACATTCCCCAGCTATGACATTGCACCTAACCTGTCTTGGCTGTCCTTGGAACCCCCGAACTCGTACCCGCCGACTTCGAATAGCCTTGGAATCGGATGGAACATAGATACTCTTTTCCTCAGTGTTTGTTTTTGGAAACAAATGCAAAAGCCTGTGAAAACCGAGTTTTCAGGCTGTTTTCACCTAATACGAAAAACTTCACTATACACTCAAAAAACGTCAAAACGAATTAAAAACTTCAGGATGTACAGTATTTAGGGTGATGTCGATGATATTTACAACAACTACAAAAATAAATTACAAAACTCTATCGTTTCTAGAAAGCCTGTGAACCAACCCATACTTTTGCAATTTTTCAATGGTATGATCTTTTAGCAGACATAAAAGCAGACGTCCTGAAGTTTTTAAGTCGCTTTGACGTTTTTTGAGTGTATAGTGAAGTTTTTCGTGAAAGTTTGTACTTCAGAATGTATTCAAAACAATCACACGAGCGAAATTTATCTTATCAGACCTTTCCACAGGTTTCAATTTAAAAGATGATATGCCAGATTTTTAGTGTCTTATGTTATGAAAAGACGCAGTCAACTCTTCTTTTTCTAATAGCGAAAATCGCAGATCTCATCTATTTCCATCCAAAAATTATTCATAAGACAACTGCTGCTTCTTTTTTGACAGGCAGCAATTAAGCGTATACTTTAGTGTACAGAGTGTACTTTTTCTAGCGTAGATGTAAAAATAGACAATGTACTCTAGCATTACGTGTCTATACTTACACAATAATCGGCACCATTCAAATTGATGAGCAATTATTTTCCGAAACATTTATCGATTATATTCATGAAGATGGTTATCTTACTCTTCATTTTGATATGTTGTCTTATGTATTGTATTTAATTGGATCGCAAGCGGTATGTTTTTAACATTAGTTACCAAGATTTTTTACCGATAATTCTTATTATAGATCTACACATCCAATGATTATGGAAATACAATCTATCCAATATGGAAAAGAGAGGCGAATGCAATAACTTCAGATGAATTTGAAGCATTAAAACCCGTTGTCTTTCAAGATACCGGGCATATTTTATTTCCTTATCGACAAAATCAACCGTGTTGCAAATATTTTGGAATTTTTACTAAAGCAGGTTCGGTGACAGATTTCTAATCTGATCCCATCATTACTAAATACAATTGTTTGTTGCTTGTGAGGTTTTTGAAGGATTAAACAACTGATATCTCTCTCTAGGTGTTTTTTATGGAGTAAAAACGCGTGTATTTCAGTTATTAGTATCGTGCGATAAGCCATTTACATTCGATTTTAGTGGAAGTTTATATTTTAACATGTGCAAAATGGCACCACAAATTCTCGTTATTCAAGCTAGAGAAGAACGATTAGTAGCGACAAAAAACGTAATACATTTCTGTAAATCTCATGGAGAAACACACAACATTGCTGTTGTTTTTCATTATAGCTTGACTCAAATGCCATCGATGGCCCATTTTATATACGAGAAACAGATTTTGATAAATATTTTGTATTTTGTTCATTGACATCTCGCATTAATCAATCTAGCTTCAGTTACTCGACAATTGAATTTGTGTAAGAAGAATGAAACGGAAGACACTAAACGATGAGCTAAATTATTTTTACATTTCAGTGAATTGGGAACATTTTTAATATCAACTGTTTATGAAATAGACGGAAATGAAAATTCTGAGGATAATTATTTGATTAATGATAAAACATGGAAACGGTTACATTATTGTCTATATACATACCGTTTGCAATCGGTACATCAAACAGACTCGAAAATATATCCTCAATCATGTCAATTACTGGTGCATTTCTTAGAAAACCAAGTCGTATTACAAATGTTCGGAAATGATGCAAGATGCATATTTCATCCGGATAATGAAAATTCAACATTGATTGCATCAGATATCGTTCACATATTTATTGAAAGAATAGATCCTAGTAGTAATTCAAAACGAGCATTTGGTGTAACATTTCATAAAACTCCCTTGTACAATATTCAAGTTAGTGAAGGAAAATGGGTCATTATTTCAACTAAAGTAAGAATAGTGTTTTATAAATACTCTAATAATTTCTAAGATTCTTAATTTAGACTGCTTATTATGTCAGTGATAATTGTATATTAAAAACAATTGATCAAAAACGTTCGAGACAAAATATTGTTCATGTAAAACCAACAGATACAGTTCTTATTTACGAAGAAGTGAATGATTATAGAACAGGTATCAATATTTATTAATTCTTAATCAACATTTGTAATCTATCTACCTCGTTTTTAGCAATATACAATGCTGTTTCTCAATATACCACTGTTTTTGATCGTTCTCAATATTTGTATAAAGAAAATGAGAATATTATTCATTTAGGAAATGAAAGATTTAAAAAAGAGATAGACAATGAAATATATTTAACAGTTTCAGCCTACGCAAATGTAATTGTACATATTTGCAAAGAGAGATCTTATTAAATTCTATTTTTATTTTTTTAAGCGTAAAACTATTTTGCGTCAATGGTTTCAAATGTCTGAACTAGGTTGTGTATTTCCATCAACACAAACGATTACCTATGTAACAAAATGTTTAGAAAATAGTGTTATTCGAACTATTTTTGATGAAAACATGAAATTACCCGTTAAATTACAAACTATATTACCGGTAGGTTATTATCAAATTGTTTACGAAACTATTCTATGTTTTTCTCAGTTCAATTTTCAACTTAATCGATATGCTGTCGGATATGAATCAGTCATAACTTATAATGTTCAATTTTGGAATATGCCATCATACGCTAAACATGTACGATAATAAAATATCTGAAACAAATAAAAGTATCTAAATTTATTTCTATTTAGTTAAATCCAGGAAATATTTGTGATGCATTAGAACGATGCGAATGTGTAACTTCATTGACATCGATACAATATCCAATTGCATGTGCTGATGTTGTAAGAATAGAAAATCTTTTTTTAAAATTCAAAAATTGCTCGAAAAAGTTTTATTAAATTTTTGATACAGAGGGGGAGAAGATAAGAAAGAAAACTATTATTCTGATGAGATTTTTTCTTAATGCGAGATATTTGTTAATATAGACTAGAGGTCAAGTCAAGTTTATATACGGTTCTTTTCTAGATTGATGATAACTGTAGCCTCTCTTTGCTAGGTATACGGTTTTGATTCAACTGTGAATAACATTATACATATTACACTAGTAATTGAAAGTGGTTCCAGTTATAATCCAAAATTTGAAAGTTTATTTCTCATTGAAGAATTGGCTCATAGACACGACTATGATTTAATCGGTTAAACATCTAGTATTTACACTCAACAGTGAACAAATGCCATTTCGGTGACATAGTTAACAAACTAAACGGAATCGTAGCTTTTCTACGATGCCTGTTAAAATCTTCAGGTCTGAGGAAAAATTACAAAAAACAACGATATGACCCAATTCTAATTGTCTATTCAAATGAAGAGTTGAAGAACCATATTCGGCATGAGAACATTTTTTATTAAGAGCCAGACGATAGAACTAAACATCAACGACAGTCAAATTTAATGAGAAATTCTGAAAATTTCATCTCGGAATAATGCTGGAAATTCAATATTATTCAATGTTTAACTCCTTAGTTCTTGCTGCTTATTTGTCTGACAGAGTTAGGAGCAATTTAATTTCGTATACAAATGAAATGTGAAAGCTGTTGAACAACCAACAGTTTTTCAAAAGAGTCAGATAAAATAAAAAAAGATAAAGAAAATAACATATTTTTCAAAAGAGAAATTGGCTTGGATGGTATTCTAGACTTAGTCTGAATCCACGTCCAAATTTCCAACAACGTTTTGACCTTCCTTATTCTATTATGCCAGTACCAAACATTAAACTGTTTTTTACTCTATCAATACTTATCCGATAGTGGTGAAAATCTTTTTACGTAAATAATTCAACGCACTCTATAAGTTGGCAAGATCAAAATTGATTTTTACTTGTGTATCAGAACCTTTCTGAAGATCTATTTCTTGATAATGCTGACAATTTTTATAGTTAGTAAACAATTTAGAAAAAAAAATATTTTGTGTTTAATTCGTTAATCATGCCACCTAAACGGGATTGAACAGCGCCTATTCACACTTCTATATGAATAAGTATCTCATTCTTTTCAATTAAAGGATCTCGTCTTGCTTATGAAAGAAGTGTATTAGTTGTTCATAGTATGTTAGAAAATTTTCCACGATTGTCCGATAATGACTTGAAAATATTCAAAATTCTTACCAATCCACTACCACGTAGTAAGCGAATCTTTGCTGGACCATATCTCAGATTACAGTTAATGGTAAGCACAAAAATATTTTAAATAGTGAACATGATACAGATTCATTTTAGGATGAAGGTCTGTACCATTTTCGAATTACATACTTGTGGGGTGATCAATTCTGTAGTTCGAGTAAAGATATGTTGATTCTAATGATGAATGATGTTCCAACTTTACTAGCATATAATTTCAAATATTTTGCAACTGCAACATTATTTTTTTTCGTTGTCTACTTTGTATGGCTATATGTTGTGTTCTATAAATACTTTGAAAACATTTTTTCAATATATTTTGGACAAGAACCAATACCTTCAATATTTGTTCAAAGATCAATTGCACAAGAAGTAATGAGAATAAGCTATGAAGGAATGAATATTTACTGTTAGAATTCATATTCATTTCAGATTGATTTTGGGATCTTGGTCACTATTCGAGAACAGAATGATCAGCTTCTATCTTATCGTCACTTGATACCAACGAAGAAGCGAGATAATTACTATGCTTATAGGTCGAATGATATCGATCTTCAATTCGGTGAAGATGAACGAGCAGGTAAGAGAGAACTTCTTCAAAAATGTCAGATAAATTATTCGCATATGTTTAACCCTTTAATGACTAAGAAAACAAGTCCGAAATCCTAGCAAAATATGACCTTTCGTTTTATACCATCAGCAACCTACAGTTTAAACAATAATCTCTTCAATTGACATAATTTGAAAGAGTACACCTCTCTACATATTTTTGAGAACTTTTCCTAAAGTATCTAAAAACATAAAATTTTTTCGAAAATATTTGTCATTTTAAAGTTTAAATATCTCGGCTAGCATAAAACATACACAAAAATATTTTTTTATCATTCGATAGCTAATTTAATTTTCTACAACCGATATAAGATTAGCTTTTTAAGAGTGTTTCCGCAGTTTTTATAATAATAATGTCAATGTTCATTTGCAATGGATATTGGGCTTTAGAAGATTAGTTAGATATCTTTTCAGTACTTTATCCATTGGTTTCGACGCTTGTTTGTTTTTAGCGCGTACACTAAATTTGTTGGTCGCACATGAGCAACAACGACGTCATGGCATATTTGTTACGCCTGATAATGAGCGCCCACAAACAAAAGGAGAAGACAAAACTTACAGCAGCTATGATCAAGTTACAAGTTTAGTATCGTCCACATTTCTTTCATCAAGCGATTCTTATCAAAATATTCAATATTCGTTGCGCTCGGGTAGTCTAATGACAAGTTCGCCGATGTCATCCGACAGTACAGTTTTGAAACATACTGTCAATCAATTGGTCAAAAGTTTTAAAGATAATAAAAAAGAACTACCTGGACCTCAACAATTGTTTCCTCAACGTGATAAACGAAATTCGATAAGAAAACAACCGTTCATCATTCCCAGAATAGATATCAAAGAATCCATCACTACTCCTAATGAATTGCTATTACCAGTAATTGAGTCGCCGTACATGTTACCGTTATTATCCACAACAAATTTATTACGATCTGACCAAACGTGACTGAATCTCACCTTTTCGCCCGTCTTATTAATTTTTTTCTGTAGATACGAAACATAGAAGCACAAACAGTTTATCATAGATGCACAGTTATAGCCTCAAAAATAGCTAAAAATTTCGTCTCATTTGAAAGAGCTTTATAAATAAATATTGAATGTAGTAGAATTACAAAGAGATTTAAACTTGAGGAACTTAATTATGATATCGCCTACGGCACGCATGTTTGGCTGTGCGCTTAATGGTTTTGCCTGCATATCTGTATTCAGTACTCAGGGTTCTCTGCAGAAAAAAAGATATTCTCAAAAATAAAATGCATTTTAAGGAAACTACCATAAGGACTAGGGGTGGCACATTTTGTTTACTGATGCGTTACTTTACTGAGTAAAGCAACGCTTTCAAATATCACCGTATGAGTGACGAACAACCGAAAATGTATTGTTTTATCACCTTC